ATTTTTAGATATGCGTGCAGTTTACTTTCTTCCTTTTCTCCATTGCAACGAAAATTGTTCTAATAACTCTAAACTTCTCACTGCATTAAAACTTAATTTCCAGCGATTTTTATATATATGGTATGATCAATCCAGTGTTTTCCTCATTAAAAAAACCCCACTAAACCTGGTACATTAAAGAGAAAAGATGCACTTAAGTAATTTCCACCTATTATCTCTGCAATATTCTGACACAATTTAGCACACCATGCAGAAATGACACAGATGCTCTGTACACCGGAATAAAGAGATTCATACTGCGATACTTGCAACACCATACAAAGTTAATATGTCCATAGGCAATCTTCTGAAGCTTTCCTTCTTATTATACGATCTCCATGGCATGCTTTCATTTTAAATCTAATTTTTGGACTAGCACACAGCATGTACCTACATGCATTCAGATAATAGGATATATAATAGGATCAGACTTTAAGAAATGCCATTGCTTGAAAGCAGAGAGCCTTTTAATTTAAATTTTATGGCCTCCAAGTTTAGTAAATAGGAAATGTTGTTGTGTATTATAAGCATTTTTTCTCTTAATAAGTCCTTATCACACATTTCCTTATTCAAAGATCAGCTGCATATTGAAAACAATTGAACAATCAAGTATATGGTGAAATATAAATTCTGCATGGAAACTGTTTTCATTAAAGCAATATTTCTTTGTTTCTGTGCATAAACTGAATTCCATAAACTGAAGAACTGTTAAAATCTATTCCTAAGAAATGCGTAGGTGAATGTTGATTTTCAAAAAGCATACATTAAATAATTCACATTAGCTAAGGAAATGAATTTTCAGATGCAACTCCATGATGTTACACAATAACCAAAGACGAGATTCTCCTTGGAGATTTATTTCTGAAATGTACAAACATCACAGTGACAGCTGCAGGATGCACCTTCTCCAAGAGGCATTCTGTTGTTCCACAGGACATTTTCTGCAGTTGCAAACCTGACCACATCATGAAGGATAACCACAATGCAGCTGTAGATCTTCTACCTAACACTCTGAGCTTCCCTTACAATGCACAGGAAATTTCATTTTACAACTTGTGGCTTACAATTGGAATGGAAAAGCCATGTGATAGGTGTTATAATTTGGGGAGAAAAGTATATGAAAAACCACTGAGTTCAATCAACCTCAGACTACTAAGGAAGCAGAGAAGCTTGAAAGTGACTCACCTTGGAACAGCTTTTGAGAGGTGTTACATTATACTTTCCCTTAGTCTTTAGAGTAAACAAATAAAAAGCTTGAAAAATCAACTCTGAATTTGTATTTTCTATGGTCAACTATCTATACTTGTCTGTGAGGATATAAAAACTCATTTGTTGTGTGTATTATTAAGTCCAACAGCTGTTCCTGAACCATCAGTCCTCAAAACCAACTCAGAAAATTGCTGCTGTCTATTCTTACTTCATTAGTGATAGGCAGGAAGAAGGGGAGGCTACAGAGTTCAGCTATCTTAAAGATGCACAAAATTGCTCTAGATTAATAGTTAAAAGCAAAGTTTGTTGTATTTTCTGTTCATGGAAATAGTAGTTTTAAAGAAAAATAATGATAATTTTTTTTTTTCAGTCCTAGAAAAACCACAACATTTCCATCAGGATATATACATATTAAAAGCAAAAAAGCAAAAGTAATCCTCAAAGGAAAAGAATAATTAAAAAAATACATAGAGCTGTGGGTTTTGCCCTTTTTATAAATCATCAGCTTCCTCTTATGCCTTCTACTCTATCTCTTAGATATATATTCCACTTGGTATTGCTGTTTTCTTGGTTTCTCAGAAATAATAAAATACCAGTTCCCAGCTACACATGATCTCTGACCAAAGGCCACAGCAGAATGATGCTGAGGTTTCTTTAAAAAACAGGTGTCAAGACCGGAAGAACCATTCTCATTCCTTCATTGCTTCTGGCATCTCTCCTCCTTACAGGTGTAACCTCAGTCACAAAGACAGGAGGGCAGGGGAAGCCTCTAAGAGCCCAAAGGCTCATTGTTCTTGCACATGCTTTAACCTTCACCGGGTTCTACTTCACAACCACATCTCACTTGAGGACACAGAACAGATCCCATTTCAAGGCCCAGCAATATGACTCCAGATCATGCCAATGGAAGTGCTTGATAAGGGCATAAGGAATTTATTCCACAGAGATGTAGAAGTTACAGGTGAAAAAAAGAACCAAAACAAACAAACAAAAAAACAAAACAAAAAAACCAAAAACCAAACCAAACAAACACACACAAACAAACAAAACATAAAATACCCCAAAACCAAACAAAAACCACCCAATAAAAACTCCCCAAAAACAAATAAACAGAAAAACCCCCACAAAACAAAACAATCCAGTTTTAGGCAAAATGTCAAATCTCAAAAGCCTGGAAAGGTACAGCACTGCTTCTGAATCAAAGTCAAAGATAAATGATGCTTGTGTTCCCCCTGCTGGCTCTGTCCTCCAAACACAGCTCAGTAGCAATGGACGCAAGTTTTTGAGTAACTCTAATAACACATACAGGGCTTAATCTGTTTCAAACATTTAACGTTGCCTTCACACTGTACTTAGACATGATCAGAGGGAGAAAGCACTTCGGACACCTGAACGAAAAAAGGTACAGCACTGCTTCTGAATCAAAGTCAAAGATAAATGATGCTTGTGTTCCCCCTGCTGGCTCTGTCCTCCAAACACAGCTCACTAGCAATGGATGCAAGTTTTTGAGTAACTCTAATAACACATACAGGGCTTCATCTGTTTCAAACATTTACCTTTGCCTTTACACTGTATTTAGACATGATCAGAGGGAGAAAGCACTTCTGAGACTTGAAGGACAGAAGTTCTTCTGGGAGTTCTTTTGATCTAAACAAAAATAAATTTCTAAAACACCCATCCTAAACAAAGTGCCTTTAAAGGCACATAAAAGATGATGAAGAGATCTATGCCTAAATGAAGTAAATAAGTAAATAAAACTTGTGAAACACCATCTGGAGTACTGCATATAGGTCTGGTATCTGCAGCGCAAAGAAGAAGGTGGAACTGTTGGAGCAAATCCAAAGGAATCCACAAAATTGGTAAAAGGACTGGAGCACTTCCCCTATGAAAACAGGCTGAGGAAAGTGAGGCTGTTCAGCCTGGAGAAGAAAACGTTGAGTGGAAACCTTATAGCAACCATCCATTATCTGAAGGAGGCCTGCTGGATTTCCTTCACAGGAACTGTAGTGATAGGATATGGAGTAATGGGTACAAACTGAAAAAAGGGAAATTTAAGGCTGAGTATTAGGAAGAAATTCTTTACTGTGAGCGTGGTAAGACACAGAAACAGCTTGCTCAGGGAAGTTGTGGATGCCCCAACCCTGGCAGGGTCCAAGGCCAGGCTGGATAAGGCTTTGAGCCACCTGGTCTAGTGGGAGGTGTCCCTGCCCATGGCAGAGGAGGTTGGGGCTAGATGATCTTTAAGGTCCCTTCCAATCCTTAATATTCTATCATTCTATATATTTAAATCCAGGAAGAGAACTACCCAGCACAGTAACCTGATCACAAATGTCACAGACAGCATCACTGCTGGCTGCAGCCAGCTACCCATCTCAGGAGTTTGGGAAGACTTGAATGAATGGATAGACCAAGCTCCCTCGTGGTACCCTGCTGTTGCTTCCCAAGCCCCTCGTGTCCCCCTCACTCAGTAGGTGCCAGCTGCCTGGAGTCCAGCTGGCAGTGCCCTGGACCCAGCCTCAGCACTGAACCCATCTCTGTCACTTGGGTTCTGAGAGGACCCCATCAGCCTCTGCTCCCTCCCTGGGGAATTTATCAGCATCAGAACCTTTGAAGTGCTTAGGCAAAGATGAGGGTTTCTGCAGCAATAAAGGGTGGCTAGCTGTAACAATGTCAGGTTTTCAGACAAACCATCAGAGATTACTATTAGTTTGTCCATATTAATTTGCTTTAATTAACTTCAGTTAAAAAAGAAAAAAACAACAAAAAACCATAAAAACATAACAAAAGTTCAAAACACCATCAAAAACCAAAACCAGACCACCATTAAGAGCAAAATTGCATGTTAACAATCTCTAAACTTGTCATTCTTTCCATCAATATACAACAAAAGGAGCAACAACACTTGAGCACAACTCTTTCTAAATTACATTGTGTACTTCAGGCTGAAGAAAACAGGAAATCTGAACATACTGCTAGATTATCTCTGCTGAGGTAATATCGTAATCTAACCCTAAAATGCCTTTCAGAGAAATTTATATATTGTAACCTGGGATTTTTTTGCCAAGCCAAACTTACTACACAGGTAAACATGGACATGTAGATTTTAAATAATGCCTTCCTTCACAAACTGTACTTCCCCGTTAGGGGAAGAGCTGGAAACAATGACTATGAATTGCAATGTTAGAAAGGGTTGCCTATATCTAAAAACTATGTGCTTGACATAAAAGTATATTAAGTATGATGCATCAACCACACACACTACCTTAAGTAAACCAGATTCGTTGACTACTGTTAGTTGATTTTTATTAGCTAAAAATAAGCAGTAATATCAAACTGATTTCTGTTTTTAAGTGCTAGGCATAAGGAGATTGAATACTCATTCACCTCTGCAGGACACAAAAGTCATTCTTCTTTTGCTGAATGCATAAATGTAGCCTCTTTGTAATCTCTTTCAGATCAAAACACCTTCACATTTCCCCTATTATACAGTTTCTCTAAAACTACAAAAAAGGCTACTTGGTGAACCTCTTCCTGTGTCCAGCTTCACATGAAAACAATAGTCCCATGCGGACATGCACAATGAATCAGAGTAAACCGTAAGCAGACAGCAGAAATTAAACAAAACCCAACAAACAACTAATATTGAGAAACAAGCAGCAACGGCCTGCCGTTTCATTAAAAACTGCCTGTTATTCCTCAGGTACAACACAGGATGCCACATGATGGCAGCAAACACCAAGCTCTGGCCTTACCTGCATAGGCTGGTCACCTGCTGCTCTAAAGTCTTCAAGCTGCTGCATGTGCCATGCAGGCACACCGTAGGGCTCCTCAGCAGGCCTGCAGTCCAAGGGATTTGCCCGTAGCTGCTCCTTGAGCCACATCTGAGTCCTCACAGCCGGCTGTATGGGAGCCCCGCTCACAGCCTGCTGTCCCAGTGTCACGTATCTCTGTCCGAAAGCTTCGCCTGCCGCAGGTTTGCTCTCAGGTAAGGCACTGTAGGTCAAGTCTAAGGCGTGTCTCCTACTTGGGGAATCTGAAACAAAGTCGTCTTTGCTGCACGTTTCAAATTTGTATTTGCAGTCCAGTAGAGAAGATCGTTTTTTCCCCATTTCTTTGTCCTCAATTTTTAGCAGCTCCATGCTGTCATGCAAACAACTTGGCCCATTTGTCCTTAATTGAGGTGGCACAGCTTTGTCTGTACCAGCCCTGTATTCCACCGAATGACTACTTCCATCTTGGCTGAAATTATTTGGTGAGCTGAGTTTAGACAAGGAGGACCATTTTCTTACAGGTCTTGCATCTTTCATGTCAAGAGAATTGTCCAGGGCTCCCTGATTTCTGCCTCCTCCTGACCGTACAAAGCTTGTACTCCATTTTGAGCCATCAGACTTGAAAGCTTCCCTGTGTTTGGAAAGTGAAGAGCTGGCACCAGACAGCATCACATGGGCAGTGGGAATAGAAACCAATGATCGGCTGGGCTTAAATGATGATGTACCACTCGAAGTTGAATGATCTGTGAAGAGAAATTTATCACGTAAGTAGGTGCAACACAGAGCCCGTTAACATTAGTTCACATAGGACAAAATACCAAATTCAAGGTGAAATGCAAAAATAGAAGGTAAGAGGTTTCTTGACAAAATAGGGCCTTCTAGATAATTTTAACCATGAGAATAGAAATTAATTAAAGTGGGAGATTTTCAAGTTTATTTTGCTCAGGTGTCATGATAACAAAATGAAAAGCACACTAAGCATTGGCAACAGAATCATCAGATAGAATTCTCAGCCTGTGAGCCAGAGAAACAACTGCCAGCTTTAAGGAGGCAGGATAGATTTCTCCCCCACTCCACACACAATAAGGAGCTTCTATACCACAAACAATAGAAGTGTTCAGGAGCCCCAAGACTGGTTCTTCTTCCATCACCCCTATTCTCATTTTTTGAAGGCAGAACAATTCAATAAATGCACTTGGTAAAATGGCAGTGCTGTAGACAAGCCAGTTTAACAATGGTCACTTGGAAACTTTCATCCATTCTGGATCTCACCAATTTCCAAGCATGCTTCCTGTGCTGTGTTTGGCTGGGAAAGAGTTAATTTCTTCCACAGTACCTGGTATGGGGCTATGTTTTGGATTTGTTCTGGAGACCGTGTTGGTAATTTAGGGATATTTTAGTGCCTGCTAAGCAGTCCTTACACATAGTCAAGGCCCTTCCTGCTTCTCACCCCTCCAGTGAGGAGGCTGGTGGCGCGCAAGGAGCTGGGAGGGGATGCAGCTGGAAGAACTCACCCCAACTGACCAAATGGATATTCTCGATCCTATGGCACTGTGCTCAGCAATAAAACTGGGGGAAAGGCTGGTTTTGGGGGCTGCTGCTCAGGCGACAGACAGCTGGGGGTCACCAGTTGTTTTCATTTGCAGCATTTCTTGGTTCTTCTTTCTCGTTACTTTTCTTACAATATTTTTCTTCAGGAAAAGACTGTCAGGGAAAGGAGGGATGGAAATGCACAGAAGAAAGAAATGCATCTCCTCTTGTACAGGTAACTCCTTAGCTTGAGGCTGCTGGCTTTGTAACAGTCACGAAAACCAACCTTTGTGATGAACCTTACCCAGAAGCTGAATCTGACACTGCACAAAGTCAGTCCAGCAAAGGCCTTTTTATATCCAAAGAAAATAAGAGTGTATTAGGATTCAAAAAGAACTGACCTGTGTTTTAGGCTATGCAGATTTCTAGGAGTAGAAATGTTACATATGCAAGAGACAGGTAAAAGAAATCCTGTATACATGTATCTGTAAAACTTAAAAGAGTAAAAAACACATAATAGTATTTAATATAGAATTTTCCATCTAAAATACTGACTTAATGTTAGCCATACAGGGTTTTAAAACTGAAATTAAAACCAATAATAATTAGAAATATATTATCTCCTTATTAGATTACAGACATTAATATGTGGTAGATTTTTATTTTTCCTTCTTCTAAATTTAATTAAATTAAAAAATAATTAATTTTGAGTTAAGATTTAAACTTCTTCACTTCCAATTCTAAACTCTTCAAGCAGATTTGAACTTGGAATGCCACTTATAGCCAAGTACAGCTGATGGATGTCTCCAATAATTTGTCTCAGAGAGAAACACAGTAATTTTGGCTTCAAGTTGTCCTAATTAGTCTTCCCATTAACGCTCACTGAAACATATGAGAAAATTCACACTTTTTCTTAGAGCATATTGCTTAAGTCTGCCTTGCCTGCAGGCTCAGCTGGAAAGAGAACCAGTCTGCCTTTGGAAACACCTCACAACACAAAAGGCAGAAAATTTGAAGATTTCATTGAAAATAGGAGAGAACACAGAAAGCATCATGAAACTTAAAGAGACATTATTTCATCTGTAGACACAGGAATAAGCTCCAACTGGCCAAATCTTGTCACAGACAACTTTATCCAAGCAGCAGGTTTTTCCCTTCCATACAGGCGGGGGTACGCAAATGCCAGTTCAGAACTGAAAGTGCTCTCTCCTTGGGATTACTTGGGGGTTTACTTCACTGATCTGGTATTTATTTGAAGATAACAAACACTCTCAAACATACCTTGTGTGCCTCCAGAGTCTTTCAAAGCTTAAAACTGCTCTCTTTAATGAAAGCCAAAAGAGACATGGGGATAAAAAAGTAGCTAGATGCTACTGGTTTTTCTTTTAGCAGAAGTAAGATTATATGACAATTTTTTCTTTTCAATTATCCTAATAACTTTTTCTGGGGCCCATCACAAAACTCCCTGGAGAACTTTTCGAATAGGCATGAATTTTAATACCTGATCCAGTATTTCCAAAGCCACATAAATAAGAGAATTGAAAGCACACTCTTTTAAAAACACATTACAAGACTTCTACCATATAATAACAGCAGATGGAATAAAAAAATGAAGAACGTTTCATATGGCTTTCTTACCATCTTGTATTACACTTCTGAAATATTTAATTACTGCTTATCTGGCATAAAAATTATGTAACAGAACCAATTTTGGTCTAAATAAAAAACTAATCACAAAGAGAGAGCACAGTGGGCACTTTCTTCTGAAAAAGGGGTAGAAGAAAGAAGTTCTTCAATATAAAGTTAATGAACACCTTCTACTCATTTGCTTTTTCCTGTGCTATGCTTTTTTAATTATTGGAAGAAAAACCTCTAAAGTAATTTCTTAGCCCAGACACACCACCCTCATGCAGCTACTTAAAATCCTTATCTGTTGCCCAAAAGTCAGTCAAAACACACGAGTCAGAAAAGGTTCACTGTAACACTCAACAACTTCTTAAGCTGCAAAATGATACCAGTGCTATGCAAACTCCCATATTAGATACACCTCTGACAAATTATTCACTATTCCAGATAAGATATTATCAAACAATAACAGAGTAATCTAATTAATATTGGGTAAAAGTTACTCAATATTAATCAAAACCAAAATGTATCTGATGCATGTGTTTATAGGATGCATGTGTATCTAGTGCCATTGAAAAGTAGTGAACCTTCCTTGTGTGAAGGACTTTGAAATTTGATATTTTATCCAGTGTAAAATTAGAATGACCTGATCAAGGAGAAAAACATCAGTATTAAAAGTAGCTGACCTTCTCTTCCTGTCTTTCCCACCCACCTCCCCAAAACACTGACACAGTTTACCCCAATGCAGGAAAATAAATGGAACTATTCTTACTAACTGAGCAGAAGATAAACAGGGGAAGTGAAGCCTCCATTATACAAACTGAAGGTCTTGAATCTGGCTGTGGTTTAGTGAACAAAAGCTCTGACATCCATTATAGGACCTCAGTTCCTCTGAGGGTCCAGTTAAGAGCTCTATAGCTCTTAACTGGACCCCAGCAACAGGCCACAAACAATTCCAGCATCCAGTATAGGATGCCATGGGTCTTCCATCTACCATGCAAGCATGTGGGTGCTTCCCATAAATCTCCAAAACAGCTGTTTTCAACAACAGAAGTGTCTAACTCTCCTGGGAGTTGGTTGAAAGACAAAGACATTAGGATGATGTGCCACTACAGTAGTATGGATGCTTACTGATGTGTGTTCCTCCCTGCCTACCTACTCACAAACTGGACAGGCCTTAATGCAACAGAGATAATCGGATGAGCCAAATGAGACATTTCAAAGTGGCCAGGCAGGAGGCCAGTTCTTGTAAAAAGTCCTAAGGAGACTGACTCATCTGCCTTTGGAAGCAAAAGCATGCCTTTCCAGGGTGCAGCAGCACTCACAGGAACAGTTTGGCTTGGTTGGTTTGTTGGGTGTGTTGTTTTGGGGTTTTTTTGTACTGTCTAGAATTCTTCATCATTCTTTTTACAGGCCTTTTTCATATTATTTCATGTTTACTATGTCAAAACATGAGGTGAAGGAAGGAAGGAATCTCTGCAAATAACTCTCTTCCAAAGAATAAATAAGAAGATGCATCACAGAAAGCTGTGGCAGAAAAGGAAGCACAGCAGACAAAGCAGGGAACTGTTCAGGCATTTAACAAGTTTTGTATGAGAAGGAATTCCTAAACATAATTTGTTTATAGAGTTCTGTGTTTGAACAGCAAGGAACTAATATAAAAGAATAACTAACAAAAAACTTACTAGATGAAAAACATAACACTAACTAAAGTTAATTTTAAGTAATATTAAATGCTAAAATACTTACTGCCAGTAAAACATCTATGCCTTAAAAACAGAAACAGTCATGTGGTATTTAGAAGCAAGTCCAATTAATGTCAACTGGAGAAAAGAAGGAAGTTCACTGCCTTCCACCATCACCATTACTGTAGTGCCAGTATCAATCAGAATTCTTGTACATAAGATGTGGGTTGCAAACTCCAAGTCAGTTCTACTTTGTTTCACATTAATTGTAAGGGATTTTCTGTAATCTACTGTGTTGCATACCAAAGGAATGCAAGTTGTACCTAAAAAGTTGCTAGTTTTAAAAGGTGAAGGAATTTAAAAGCTATGTAATTCAGAAAAAATTTGAACAGTACAATGCTGAATTACATGAATGTAAACTTAGAAGGCTGAAGCAATGTTGTTGCTTTTAGGACTTTGTTTCAGATGAAATACTGGTAAAGCTACTATCCCTCAGCAATGTTATTATAGAGATATGGAAGAAGGAATAAATAGGACAGCCTCACAGGCCTGCTACAATGTACAGATATCCAGAAATACTACAAGGCAATTTTAAAGGAATTTTAGTAAGTAGAGCAGAAAGACATGCTGGAAAGAGTAAAAGCTGCATTCATAAGTACCAGGATGGCATCCACACTTATGCAAGGAAAGAATTGCAGCGGTAACACTGAGTTCCAGCAAATGGCAAACAGCTTCTTAGATATCCTTACAAACAAAGGGAATGCTATGTACATATGAACATACTTGAACAGAAACTTGCTTAACATATCCCATCTAATTTATTAAGGCCTGGCCATTTGGTGTCCATCTTCCTTATCCTCCTCCTCTACAGTTAATGAATTTGCTTTTCCCCCCCTTGTGAC